AAGGCCTCTGGTTGCTCAAATGAAAAAAATGGAGAATGTGGCATGAGGGAAATAGGAAATCAATAATTGACCAAACAATAGGAAACCGCACAAGTTGAACAATAACTGGAGGCAGTGAAAGATAAATACAAGAGTAATTAAGTTTTATTTCCTCAGTGTTTTGGAGGTGAAGGAATAAAATAGCTTTTCTCTATTTTACTGGAAGTTAAAGGAAAACTATGAAGTTTCTTCATTTTATTTCTGTAATTAATAATATTATATTTCATGTATTCAACTCCATTTTTTGTTAACCTTTTACCTGTGAGTTTCGGGGGCCCCATACACTGGTAGTCTAGCAGTACTGCCAAGTAGCAGCAGTGTTTTTCTTATCAGGACTTTTTCATTATCTCTTCCTATCTCGCCGAGCATACTTTGCCTGTTTATAAACAAATGTGAGCCTGCTGAATGAGGCCTGCTGCTCTGCTCTCAAAGCGTGATAAGTCTTTTCAGGGAAATGTAAAAGGAACTTGGTGCAACCTTCATGCCAGACAAAGCTGCACAAAATGGAAGCGGGAACCCCCCCCGCCCCAAAAAAGTCCACCTATTTCATGGATAAGAAGCAGACTTTGGTTTGTTGCACAGAGGAGCGACTGTGGTCTAAATTTAGATGGTTCCAGACCAGCGGACCTTTGGAACGCGGCATCCTAAAAAACCTGTGGAAAGACAGATCTGTCCAAAACGCAGTGAGGTTACTTTACAACTACATACAGTATTAGCAATAGGAAGCAGAGTGATCCCTCACCGAGTCGTAACTTCCACAGCATAAACTGCAAATGTCATGCATTTCTCTCGACATCCCTCAAAATCAAATACATCCCTGTCTACTTTTTCTTTTTTCTTTTTTTTTTAAAGATAGATGTTTTTTTTCCCCCTGTTTTTACTCTCAATAGATGGTTCCATGGTGCGACCGCAGAACCGTTTGCAGCTGGACCTATTTCTGAGCTGATGTCGACAACGCCAAAGCCCAAAGCAAGCCAGGCGACCTGACCACACTCCAACTGGCCCCGGCTGCCTCCAGGAACACAACTGCATAGTGTTCTCCTCAATTTATGTCTGTTTAATTCAGCCAGCTATGCATAACAACAAGCTACAAAGAGTGGGACACAGTTTGGCCTGCACATGATAAACAGAGATAATATTTCAGTGAACTATTTGGTGCTGCAGGCCTGGAGTTCAACTTTTTAGCTTTAGAAATTACAAGGTTTCAAGATCTTGGAATAACCTTTCAGGGCTGTTTTTTAGGTCTGTACTTTGGACTACTGAACTGTCCTTTTTTTTTTTTTTTGCAAAAATCTGAAACGGGAAAAATTGACCTTGAATTCAGTTCAGCCTTTCGGTCGGATTAAAGGCAATTCAAGACTCTGTTTCGGTTTTATTTTTTTTTTAGAAGTATTAAGCCAGTCGCCTCTTCTCACCATGAATCTTCAGGAGAAGCTGTCAGGCCTTAAAGGTCTGGTCACACACTCCCACAGCAAGCGCCGCTTTAAGAGTGACCTCACAGTGGAAATGATCAGCCCTCCTCTGGGTGACTTCCGCCACACCATGCACGTGGGCCGAGGGGGCGACGTGTTCGGGGACACCTCCTTCCTCAGCAACCACGGCGGGACGGCCAACGGGAACAACAGGGACACGGATTCTATCTCCAGCCCTGACAACAAGATCGGAGCGTTCTTCTCCAGGACGCTCCGTCAAATCAGGAGGGGCTCTGACAACCGACCCAGAGGAGGATCCAAGGATCTGTCACCGCCGCCGCCAGCTGTTTCTCCCATCATCAAGAACGCCATCTCCCTCCCCAGGCTGGACGTGGATATGTCTAATGGGAGTCCCACCACCAAGGTGCTCTTCCCCAGCTCTCAAAGTACGCCAATGGAGAAGAAAAGCTCTTATGGTGAGTAAGGTCATATCTTCTTCTTAAAGCTGCTATAATCAATATCTTTATATCAACAAACGATCAAATGACTGAGCGTAGTATGACAGCGGTTTCACAAAATTACACAAGACGCCTTGTATTGGTCTGCTGGCTTCTGTTTGTGTGATGGTTTGTTGGCTTGGTGGCTTTATGACGTACTCCTCCCTTAGTAATTGTTGAAAGAGACTTTTGTTCTGAGGAACTTCCACCGTCAGTGTTTTGGATTCCCGAAATAGTCCAGCATCTCTCTATCTTCACTGGAAACTTCTTCACATGATGTCATTTCATCTCTTTTTTTTTTTTTTAGCAGTTATTCAAGGATTAAGCAAAGTACAGCACTGAATCCCAAAATGGTCCCTAGGATTTAAGGGTAGATGTTATTTTATTCCTTATTATTATATGTAAACGTGAGAAAAAAAGAAAAGGGAAAGACGTGGGCAAAGGTCAAATGAGTTAACCAGTGTTAATTGAAAACTTCAGAGAAGTGGCAACAGTTTGTGGGGCTGAGAGGAAACTCATCCATCAGTTCTACCCAGGAATACAGAGACAGATTTGCCCCAGATGTCCTTATGAATCACCTTGGCTCGTAATCAGCAGCGCTCACACTGATAACACACACAGATCCAGACAGAACTGGCAACAAGCTGTCTGAGAGGCTGTTTGAAAGACCCACATTAACACCATACTCATGGCTCCTGCAGTCTGACTTCCCCTGTGCGTGTGTGTACGTGTGTGTGTGTGTGTGTGTGCATGTGTGTGTGCATGTGTGTGAGTGTGTCTGAGGGCTTAGGTGAATGTCAATACAACACAAAGGAAAGTTGATTTCTAGAACTTTGTCATTTTTCTATCGTAACTCGCTTGTTTTATAAGGAACAGTTTTGGCACTTTGAGGGACGTGCTTGTGAGTTTGATGAGAAGATCCATACATTACACTTTTGTGCGCATTTAACAAACAAGATCTAACCTTAGATATTAAACTTTAAAGGTGCTGTAGGTAATTTTGTTGGACAGAGTCAAGCTAGCTTTTCCCCTGTGCTTCTAGTCTTTATACAAAGCTAAGCTAACCATGTTCTGGCTCTAGCTTCATATATATAGATATATACACAGTGATATTCATCTTTTTTATCTCCCTCTTTATAGTTTATATATATTGTTTGTGTTCTATTGTGTGTGTTTTTGTTTTTTTTTACCTGAAAGTAGAGAAGACAGAACTTCTTTTTGTAGTGAAAGCAGCAGCTGCTTTACTCTCCAGTATGGCGTGTGAAATATAGGTGGGAGAGATTGTCCAGGTTTACATTGAGACAAACACTTCAGTGATTACTTCTTTCTCATTCTCTTATGAAAGTGTGTTAATCTGTAAAAATCAGACGCTGGAATGAAAAACCTCCCTCTAGGCCCTATATGGCTGGCACTGACAAGAGCTGCGGTAATTTATCTGTTACCCGTGGGTCATGAAGGCAGCAGAGTGTGTGTGTTTGTTTGTGTGTGTGTGTGTGTGTGACTTGTTAAGTGATCTGGCAGGTTTAGGCGGATGATTCAACGTTCACAGAGCAGAACCTCAGCTTTTTGGCTGGTTTGACAGATTCGTCTCAGATGAGTTTACACCGCCCCCTGTTGGAAGTGTTTTGCTAAATCATGCTAAAAGTGTGACTGCAAAATAACCTGAATCATATTTAGTTTAGGTACAGTAAGTATATTGTACATGGAATGTACAGGTAACAGAAATATATATATATATATATATATAGCTACAATAGTTAAAATGAAAGTAATTTAGTCCATCAAGTCATTTTAAGTAAAGTGGTTTTAAATCATTTCATGCGATTCAAGTCTTTATCTCTCTTCTGTTCCCCCCTTCATGCTAAGCTAAGCTAGCCAGACATGAGATTGGTATCGTTCTTCTCATCTGTCTCTCAGTAAGAAAACGAATAAGAATATTTCCCAGAATGTTGAACTGTTCCTATAAACATACGTTCACACACACAGGTGTCAAAGACAGAATACCTCCGCTCAGGTTTCACGTATTGATATCTGTGTGTTCTTCAGGTCTGGAGTCTGGCTTCGTCACTCTGCCTCGTCAGTCCCGCTCCGAGCGTCAGCAGCCCTCCATCTCCCTCCCCATTTCCCGCTCCCCGAACATCCACCGAGGTTCTCTGACCGACCCCGCCGATGCCATCTTATCCACCTGCTCCGCCACGACTGTGACCTCACACCCCAAACCCACCACCACCACCACCACCACCACCGCTTACTCTGACTCCCTCCCCTCCCTCACCTCCCTGGACACCTTCACCTTTGACCTCGGCCCCTCCCTCATGAGCGAGGTGTTCGGCCTGATTGACGGCCACGCGGAGGAGCCCGGCCACGCCTGGGAGGGAGAGGAGGCGGGGTCGGCGTGCGGGCTGACCAACGAGGGCTCGGAGATGGACTCGGCTACTATCTCGTACGTGGATTCCCTGCTGAGGGAGGACTGTGGGGGCCGGAAGAGCCCGCACCCCGCCGACTGGGAAGAGGAGGAGACTGTGATGGAGGTAAACGGAGTCGGGCTTTCTGTTAAAGTACCGGACGTGGTGATGGGGTCTCCTGAACGAGCGAGGTTGGGAATGGGGATGGAAAGCGAGCGGTTCCAGAGCGCCACAAATGTGCTCGCGCGCCATTATGGCGTCAGCCTCTCAAAGGGACAGAGCAGGATGGAGGCCGCAGATACAGAGATGATGATCGTGAGTCAGCCCAAGAAGAAAATGTCCTACACTTACATGGACGATGAGGATGAAATCAAAGTCTGAGCCGAGCAAATCGGAGATGTCTTCACATTAACTAAAATAAATCTTTATGTGATGTATGATTCCTCTGTAATTCCAATCAAATCAATCATCTAAAATCTGTTTCTGGTCAATGAGGCTGGCTCTACTGACAGGATGACCATGAAAACTACAGCCTGAACCCAGTATCCTTCATACTGGATCTTTTACTTTTACACAATTACGCTTCAAGGATGCTTCAAGGATGCTTCAAGGATGCTTCAAGGATGCTTCAAGGATGTCCAGTTTTGATGCAAACCCGTGTCTGAATGTATCTAAAAGGAGTGAAAGACTCGATGCTGCAAAAGCAGAGAAAGGGAGACCGCTTTGTTTTTTTTTTTCTTTTTCCAAAGGTCGTGACTCAAAAAAAAGCCTTGAACGAAAAGGATGCGTGGAAAGTGAACGATGTACCAGAGAACGTGGTTAAGATTGTCGCAGAGGAAACACCGACATTACTCAGTGTAGAAGTTACAAAAGCCTGTCATTCACTTTATACTTCAGACGCTTCTGCACATTGGAGAGGGGGTGGGGGGGGGATTTCATCTTACTACAACCTGTTTGGTATCACTGCAATCTCTTGTCAACTTTTCACTCAGGAATACACTACCAGGAGAGAAAAAAAGGGAAGAGAATTAATGAGAGATCTGGAATCTCAGGATCAGCCTCGTCAGACAAACATTAACCAGAGAAACGTCTCAGTTGTCAAACTGCTCAGACGGAGGGAATATGACATGTTCATGCCGGTATTTTGCTAGAAGCAATTAAATCCAGAACCATATAAATGTTCATTTTATGCTGCAGACCTTCTATATAGATACTCCGTGCACCTTTTATGAATATGAAGTCCGACTCCTGTATTGCTTTTTATAGAAGATTTGTCATTTATATGTTCTTTTATACAACTGTACATGAAGATATCAACTGACCTCCTATAAATACGTACTTACAGTATGAGCACCTGCAGTACATAGTGCAATTCACATCCATATGCTGCAGTCAATACCAATGATATACTATGATGATATAAATTGACAATAAAGATGTTTTTAATTAGGCTGAATAGCGTTTTATTTACATGTATTTTCATGTTTTACATTTAAAGGTCAGTTTAAATTGATATTCCACCCGAAATCCTGGAAGATAAAGGCCGACAGCTGGTCGAAGAAAAGTTTGTTATTTACCACAGCCGTCGTGGAAAAAACAGACTTTGGGTGGAGAATCATTTAACAACTGAAACGTGAAATCCCAATTCAGCCTCGAGGTTCAAGGAATAATTTGCTCGTACTTAAGTAGCTGATTATTTTGTAGATTTGTAGAAAAATCCACTTGCGACTTGTGAAAGGACTTAATTTATTGTTTAGGTTTTTTCTTTTTTCATGTTATTTCTATTTTTTTTTTTTTTTTTTTAACCAAAAAGATTTCCTTTCCTGCACTTACATTGCATTCTGGGAAATAGAAAGACACCAGTAGCTGACAAATAAATAAATGACACAGTGGTTATGAAAACATGGGTAGATAAAAAAAAATATTTAAAAAAAGTAAAATAAACTGCGACACTTCAACTCAGAATAAGAATAAATGTTTCCGCTGCTCTTCACCAACCACAAGAAAATTCACACGACACACGTCAATTTTTCTCACTGAGCCACAGAAGGAAGTTCTTTTGCCTGTGATGGAGGAGGAAGTGGCGGAGGGCAGTTTGGCGCTTTGAGTCCAGGCCTTTTCGGCGGAGGCTTGTTCACGCTGGCCCCCAGAGCTCGGGGTGCAGGCGTCGGCTGGGTCCTAGTGTCCGTGGCCGCTGGGGCTGTGGCGGGGACGGGAGGGACCTGGGGCTTGGGAGGCCCTGGGGGTCTCGGTTTGGAGAACTGAACCGTCGCCTGCTCGCTGGCTTTGTTTGGGTTGTAGGATCTTTTTGCTGCACAAAAAAAAAAGAGAAGAAAGACAGGTGGAATATAAGGCAGGCTGCTTTATCTAATCACTATCTAATTTCTGAATGAAGAAATGAAATAATCCTCTTGAAAATGAAAAGTTTCTTTAAAAAGTTAGCGAATGTTGGCCATCTGTGACATTTGGTACCAATCTTTTGTTAGATGATGTTTTAGGATAATGTCCTCAGTGATCATCCCGTCTGATTTTGTTAGTCTGGAGATGATTATCAGTGTTTAGACTACCACTATGCTGCATTCAAGTACCAGGGAGGTCTGATATTTGTCTGCCAAACAGTGTTGCATTTAAATTCGATTTTGTTGGGAAAACAATCCTTTAACACAGAATATACTCGGATAACGAATACGGAGTGCTTTTTAATTGATAGTAAAAAATACCACAGCGGGTTTTGATATTAAAATAAGTGAGAAAGTACAACTTAACACAATATCACGTAACAACAAAGTTAAAGTAAGAAACGGTTTCAGTTCTGTAGGCAGACAAACATATCAGGATGAGAAGACTTATAAGGGAAAGTATTTCAGCTTCTCCTCGAGTCTGTGGTAGTTAAAACAATGTGAGAGATGACGCATGACCCCAGAGGTTGATATTTTGGTCAGTGGTGCGAGTCTTCCTGTTTCCTGTGTACTTCCTGGTTGCTACAACGAGTGGTAATTTATTTTCTCTCTGTCGACTTGCACTAACAAGCCACCACTTTGACTTTGTGAGAGGAAAAGGGCAGAAGCAAAGAATCTGTACACAACGTTGCACAATAGAAAGAGACATATAAACAACGAGATCTGCTTGTTCCCTCGGCCCTAGAAACAACAATTAAGGAACAGCTGCTGCTGGTTGAAGTAAAATAAGGCTTGGGACATTTAAAGAGGAAGGGCACCAAATGTTACACATGAAGTTTTGTTTATTTGTCATGACAACTTGTGAAATTGTTGTATATTGTTTCCTGTGGCTCTGACAGGAGATTTTTAGACTCAGAGGGAAATAACCCTGATGAGATCATTGATGCCTGCGTTGCGAACTCGAAGCGTGGAATTTGAAAGATGTGGGCATTTACCAGGCAAGAAGGGTCTAACAAAAGATGCAGTTGCATCATGGGAAATGTAGCATCCAGTGTTTTTGGAACTTGATCTGCCCTCGGGATGAAAAGTCAGGAAATTTTAGGTTGACCTTTCTTTCTTTCTTTCTTCTTAAGTCCCCCGACTTGCTGCTACATATCTGGAGTGCTCCAGCGCTACTGAAGAAGACAACTGCTGAGATCTGTCCACACCCGCAGTTGCTGAGGTTTTCATTTGTCGGTGTAGTTATATTACGTGGCTAAATCATCTTGAACAAAGGAGAAAATCTACAGATTTCAGATACATTATTCCCACCTGGATCTGTTTGGATGTACCTTTAGACCACCACCCAGCATCGTTGGACTGTGACTTACGTTTGTACGGTAAGGTCATCTTCACTAATGCTCTGGGAGAGTCTGGAGTTGCCTCCAAAATTGGCTCCAGCTGGCCCTGATCCGAGCACTGCTTCTGGGTGGGACACTTGGCCTGACCCGGGTTTGGCGCTGATCCCGTGGCTCTAGGAAGTTGGGATGGGCTCTGGTTCGCCGTCGAGCTGCAGGCAGCGGAAGTATTGGAGGCCTGAATAGGGCTGGGATTGTGGGATGATGAGATGCTGGATGTTGTGTTTGGATGGGTTGGTGCTGCTGGCTCAGCTACAGGGCTGCCCCATGTGGAGGTGCCACTGCGACTCACAGAGCCAGATTTCACCAGGAAGAAGCCACCACTGTCCTGAGAGGCTGTGCTGATGGAAGGAAACAGACAAAGGTTCATGTCTTTTTGGGGTTACTACTGCAATGAGGTCTAACTGTTGTGACCTCTTACAAAAGGGTACCTGTTGGTCTTGGAGAGAGGGAAGTGATGAGAGGAGCCGGAGGAGGCTGTGGATGAACAGGAGACCGCTCTGCTCAGTTTCTCCTTTTCTGAGATCTGAGACTGGGCAACAGGAACAGGAAGGGTCACATCCGGGACTTCGGGAAGATCTGGGACCTCAAAAGATACAGCTGACCAAAGCAAAACATACACATTTATGAGTCCTACATCGAATATACAGCTTTACATTTACAGAATAATTCCAGGTTATTTGGTAATAATTTAGTTTTAGCTAAGAGTGAGAAATAACCAGTGAACCAATCAGAACAGGTTTTAAACAAACCTGTGTGTGTACTGTAATGTATTTGTCTGGGGAGGTGAAATTACAGTCCTAACTGTCTGTCATCAACATTAATCACAGTTTCCATACTGACTTCCTGGTTCAACTTCAGCCTACTGTACTTGCAGTAGTTGTTAGCATTTCCTGTGCAATGGGTGTGCTTACTTTCAGTTTTACCGCCAAATCAAGTGGGTTAGATTAGCAGCTCCCAGAGTTGGTGCAGCGGCACCCTGGGGCATCCTGTTATTCTACATTCTAACATTTACATGAACCGCACTTTTTGTTGTGTTTTCGAACACATCAAAACAGAGGAAAACAAACAATGAATATCAAAGTCACCATATTAAAAACCATGTCAAATATGCGTTTATAGCTCAGCTCCAAGTCGCCTAGTTGTCATAGTAATGCAGCGGGTTTTCCAGAAGCACAGTAGCTAGAGAAAGCGATGAAAAGTTTGGGAACCATTTTTTAATCAGATAATCTTTAGCAAATCAAACCATCAAACACATAATCTTGAGAGGGGTTTTAAAACCTGTATTATTTCAGTTTACCTTCTGATTATTTGGTGCATACTCCTGAATAAATATGTGCTTAATCAAGTTGGAAGTTACTATTTGCTAACGAATCCACACACAATTTTGTCTGTTAATCTGAGCGATGCAATGTCGCTGTGATCTCAGTGATAACTTCAACCGATAGAAATGATAAAATGGCAAAACCGCAACAACATCCGAGTTAAAATGAACCAGATTTATCCAGACGGATGTCACACTGATGTTACATATACCTTCAGGGAAGAGGCTGGAGCTGTACTGAATGAGAGGCTCAATGACAGTGACCACCTGGACTGAAGAAGCTGACGCCATGTCAAGCAGAGCCGCTTCCCTAAAGAGGCGGAAGAGAAGAGATGAGGAGGAAACACAAGGGGACAAATTCAACCAGAGTGTCACTAAAGTTAAATCTAAAGTTGCTAACAATGGTTTACTTTAGCTACAGCTGCTCCTCCAGCAATTCATATACACACACACATACACACACACACACACACACACACACACAGACACACACACACACACACACGGGGCAAAGACAGACTGTTTTATACGCACCCTTCAGCTCGTGGCCAGAGCAGGTTGGGTCCCAGGACGATGGCGATGTTACTGGGCGTCATCTTGTTCACAGCCTGTTGCTCCGACAACAGAGACAAGAACTGGACCAGGTACCTGACGGGGAGGAGGAGGAAAACACAAAGTAGACTGGGTGTAGGAAGGAGAAACAGGAAGTCAGCACTAGAAGAAAAGTCTATCCACAGAGCCGTGTGGACTAAAATGCATTTCACTCAAGTTGAACATAAGGACGTCCTGAAACGGGACGAGAAAGAGACACGTGATCCGGACGGAGGCGAGTACAAACCTGAGGTTGTTGTAGTTTTCAGGTGGCAGTTTCTTCAGCAGCTCTTTGAACCGCTCCAGCTTCTCTGTCAAGTCTTTTTCCCTGTGGAGACAAAGATCGAACTCAGAAAAACAGACTTGAATAAGAAATGAGTGAAAATATAAAATAGTGTAGATGTGATACACACCCTGCTGCTTTAAACCAGTCGTTGTAGAGTTCAGAGGTCATTAGAGGTTCAGGCAGTTCTCGAAAGTAACACTTCAAAGCTCCTGTCAACAAATTCAGAGATAAAGGTCCATAATCCCAGCTGTGTTTAAACAGTTCGAGGTAATATGCGCTGAGTTACTGCCCATTTTGTCCTGTTAGATAAATAAAGATAATGAATATAAACACGTCTTGCAGAATCCCCCCGGTTTGATTTAACAGTGATTCTATATGTAGCATGAAAACTTTTTTTATTACTGTTCTAAAAATTCTCTCGTACAAGGGAGATGATGTGTTTAACATTACTGGAAGCTGGGTAAACAGAAGAGGAACCGGGTGGCTGGTGAGCAGCAGAAGTGTGCACGCGACAGAGACTCGGCTCTCCATCAAGAGGAAATTTAAGGGGAAAAAAAGAAGCGGACACGTCCTTACCGGCCACGGCGTGAGGGTCCATGCTGAAATCGCTGTGGTCCACCGTTCCCTGATCCAAACAAGTCTTCAGCCGCTTCACCACGGAGGCCGCCGCCGCCAGACGAAACAGACCCTGAGGGGCAAGGAGGCAGAGGCAGAGTTTTAGTCATGGCATGAGGCGAGGAAGGTTCCCTCCACTGATTATATAACAAATGACCCGAGACAAAGAGTTTCTTAAACTTCATTTTCCTATAAATCTCTGTATTTCCTCTTGTATTTTTGTATTTTACAGGCACCGACGGCCCCTAAAGCCAAAACTCTGTAGAGGTGACTTCATATTCAGCCGTGTCGGTCAGTCAGCTGGTCTGTCAGTCTGTCAGTCCACCGAATGAAGTGTTTCAAGGTCTCCATTTCAATTAGCCCAATATTTTACACAAATTAAAGTGCAGTGCCAAGGAGAAAATACAGTAAATTCTAGTATCAATAACATGACACATTTTCACCTGAGTACCTGAGAATGAGAAAAACCTGATATAAATATGGTCTGCAGACTGGAATTAAAACAAAGCTGCATGCAGGGTGGTGCATGGGAGTAAACTACAGGGTAAAGACACTGTTAATCAGAGTTTACATGCATGTCAATCGCCGTGACCCCTGTGTTGTCATGCCGTCAGTCCTACCTCCTCCAACATGCCCGTTCTCAGCAGCATGTGAATACACTCCTGGATGGGCGCAGCGATTTCTCTGTTGCTTCGAGACAGATGAGACAGCAGAGGCTCGCCGTAGACCTTCTGATTAGAGAGGTTTAGCATTGGCCCTGCAGAATCAGATAATTGCACAGAGGAAACAAGAACATGAAAAATGTTGCAGTGACGTTGCAGGAAGTAAATGTAGGGACTGGGAGAAGATAACGTCACCTTTTTGACTATGATTCTCTTTGAGCTCGCAGATGTTTTTTTCCAGGAACTCGTGTGAATTTTTGTGGTATTCTGCTTGTAGCTCGAGAAGCTGCAATTGGACAAACAAGAGAGGTGCTGGATATATAAAGCAGTCTGAGGTTAGATTACAGCTTTTGTGCGTGCTCTCTGCGAAAACCTGCAGTGAATTAATCAAGAAGAAGAAAAGATTGAAGCCGTCACAGCTGCAGCTCACCCGAATGAAGTAGTTAGCGTAGTCATCTTCTTTAGTCGCAAAGTGATACAGATCTGCAGAGTACTGATCCTGCAGATACAAAGAAGAGGGCTTCAGTGCCTTGCTCAAGGACACTGCATCAGAGTGGGCGCTTGATTTAACCCAGGTGCTCTTTGTTCCTTTTTACCTTGATGTTCTCCAACTTCCTCCAAGCTTCTTCCACTTCCTCTCGAAGCCCATCCTGCTTTGCCTGGGGACCAGTGCTGGCCTGGCTCCTGACCACACACACACACACACACACACACACACACACACACACACACACACACACACACACACACACACACACACACACACAGATCTGATTAGTTACTTGGTGCGTGGATAAATTTAAACACATGTAGCCCTGACTGAGGTTGTATGACTCACCTGGTTCTTGCGTTGTTCCAGTCTGTAGTGAGCTTTGCAAATTGCTTCTTGTTCCTGAGAATCTCTGGTAAATCATCCTTAAAGGAAAGCAACAAAAAAAATATAAAGGAAAAATTCTGGGGATTTTTTAAAATAATCTCTTTTTTAATAATTAGCCTTTTAACATAACATATGGCGGGGACGTATAAAATAACACCTGACAATACAAAGCCTAAAATGAGACTGTATAAGAGCGCCGTTAGCTGAACTCTTCAGTCATGTATGTTGTTGACCTTTGTGTGTTATTTATCAGTCACAATCAGTAGAGCGACATTAGTTTCTCTTCAACAACAGAGGAGCCCCACTCTCACCTCGCTGAGCTTGTTGAGCGGCTCCAGCACTTCCTTCTCCAGTTTCATCTCGAAGTCGGCCAGCATGTTGGCCAACATCTTCTCCATGAAGCAGCACATCTCCAGCACTCTCCTGCAACACACACACACACACACACACACACACAGCTCATGGGTCGTGTTGAAGAGATAAAAATTCAAACACAACCACACTGCAGAGAGCCAGCTACAAGAACTAAATACTCTGGTCTAGCATGGATCTTCTTCAGGTCTAGAAATCAATCAGCACATCATTGCATACAGCAGGTGACATGATCATTAATGGCGACTCATCTCGCTGCTCTACTACTGACTCTATAACTATAAATAAAACACATACAGAGTTCTGGTCACATGCTCTACACTGTGTGTGGGATCCTCTTTTCCTTTTCATCAAGAACTGAAAACCTCTCTGCTGGAGGCATGAGGTTTTCACATGACAGCAGTCAGCACGAGTCAACAGTTCAAGTAAAGAACACGGAGGGATGGAGGGATCAAACCTGTCACCTGATAGAGGACTCGGCATCAAAGTCTTTGAGGCTCTCGGCCATGCTGATGGACAGCAGCATCAGAGGGAGCTTTTTCTGTGGAGAGAGAAGTGGGTGTCACACCTTTCACTGTGACCGATCGAATGGTTTTTTTTACACATCTTGTGGATACAGTGATCGTCTGAGCCACTTCGTACCATTCGTTTTTCAGCCTCCAGCCCGAGCTGACTCTGCATGCAGCACTGCAGCTTCTTGTGAAGGACCTGAGCCGCCTTTTTGGCCGGTTCCACTCGCTGCTCCACCTTCATTCAGCCAGAGATACACACACACACACACACACACACACACACAATAAAGTTGGTGTGAAAGTTCATTTTCTGGTCCCTTCCTCTCACTCCATTAACTCATGTTTTTGTTTTCCAAATGCTGTTTTATTTAATGTGTTTTAATGTTGTTCTTTTGCTCTAAATCAAGTCTGCAAAAGACGTGTGCTCCAATACAGGAAGTGCTACAAGGAAAAATCAGTCATACGGCTTAAGCTATAAAACTAATTGTATCGTCATTAACATGTTGTTAATACTAGTGCTGTAGCGTGAAATGTTGTGATGACACAGAATGTTTCTTTTCCTCACCATGACCAGGTCCTCGTGTAGAAGTTCAGTGGCATCTTGTGACCTGAGGATGTGGACACAGTGTTGGTTAGTGAGTATAAAAGTAAAACACGTCTGATGTCAAAACTGATGTCTGGTTTTTATTATCATTTAGATAATTAGACTGTAATTTCACATTTATATTTTCATTATAATCTGAATAATCTGAGGATTATGCTCTCAGTGTATCTAGTCTATAAAAGGTCAGAAATGTCCCGTCACAGTTTCCTAAATTCAAAGATCATGTCATCACGCAGTGTTTTTTCCCACCAACAAATATCTAAAAATCTGGAATTACGTCATGTTTGCTTGATTTACAGAAATAGTTCAACATTTTTGAAAACATGCCTCTTCACTTTCTTGATGTGTGTATGGTAAATGTGAACAGTGTTTTATTTTCGACTGACAAAACAAGACACTTAGAAAACTATTTTAAATGATCATCAAATAAAAAACTTCTGCAGAGGCTTTGCAGTGTAAAATTGCAGTGCACCTCTTTTGCTCTGAAAACTCCCCAACAGTGGAAATGTTAGGGGACATTTATTTTTTTTTGGTGTGACTGACAAGCAACTCAAGGCCAACAAGCTAAACTTGGAGCGTGAGGGCTGATGCTGCGGTTCATTTCAGTACCAGCTCTGTGAGAGGAAGGCGGGGCTGAAACCACAACCCTCTTCCATCTCTGCTGTGATATGCAGGCGTTTAAGAAAAAAAGGAGGGAGGGAAATCAACAGAGAGGTGAAAATTTCACTGTTGAGAACATTTTCAAGTTTGTTTCCCACTGAGAGGAAGTCCCACCCAGCTCGCGATGAGGTCAGATGAGCTTCATCACCTCCAAGGTGTAGTTTTTTTCTTTTCCCCAGTGAACCTGACATCTGACGTTTCTAAACACAAAGAGAAGAAATCCCCAACAGGCTCAAACCACACGCCAGTTCCTTTTTTTAAATTTTTTTTTTTTTTTTTACCTCTGATTCTCATTTCAACTTTTTCTTTTGAGGCGGAAAATACCTTTTTTCATCAACATAGAGTAAAATTACATCAAAGCATGTGAACAGATGAATTGTATGCTTTATTAAGAAAGTAAAAGTGTGAGTGGCATGTGTGTCTAGACTCATGTTATCCAGTACAGAACGGATCTATCAATGAGAATCAATAAACTGTTCCGCGCAAAACAAAACACTGAAACCCACTTCTATTCACGAAGCGTGTCCAGTACGTATAAATACTTGATGTGCACTAGTCTACTTCTGTGCATTATTTTTATACACCTGTTTATTTCTGCAAAGGCCGCAGAGCTGAAACCAAGAAAGAAGTGGGTGAAGTGCTGCTGTGGTAGTTGGAGCCCCACGTTGCTCTGCTGCAGATGCACGCTGCGTGCGTTTATTATTAAACCGCGCCAGAGATAGAGGCTGCATGGCCTGCACAAACATGCACACACACACATGCACACACACACAAACACACACACTCTTTCAGACATGTAGCTTGCAAGTTTGTACCAGAAAAAACAGACAGGGTGTGGGTGTATGATTTGGTCACCCACTCAGTTGCGGATGTCAGTCATGTCATGCACGGGCAAAACTCACTAGATCAGACGTGTTCAGCTCAAATCAAAGTGACACCTACTCATGAGTCAGGCACACGCCGCATGCATCGAGTGATGAGCGGTCATGGCAAACACTTTTTCCTCTTGTTTTAAGGTTTTTGATTATCAGGAGAAAGAAAAATTATAGTAAAAATCTGAAACAATTGCAATAAACAATGTATATTTTGTGTAGAGATTTTGTTTCCTCTTGTAGAGAAAACCACATCATAACGAGTACAAACCCTGTGGTAATCAACCATCGCCTTCACAATGTGTACTGACAACATATACCACAACCTGGAGTCAGTGTGTCCACTCGGATGAGCTGAACCACTCTGGTGTTCATGCGTAGAAGAGCCTGAGGTTTCCCTCAAAACCCCAAGAAGCATGTGTCACTTTCAAGAGGAACCAGCAAGTGTAGGATCCCAGCTTTAAAAACACTTTTTTTCCAAAGCCGTATTCACAACTGTGAAAATGAGAACACTGAAACCAAAGCAGAATTAGACATTTCCTCAAAGCAGAGTAGCGCTGAAATGAAAGCATCTCGGGTTTTTCTACACCTGAAATGATCCATCCTAAGATTAAAGCTGGTGATATCACAGCATCAGCATTAAAGCGAGAGTATTATAGCTTTTGTGTGGCAGTAGCACAAGAAGACAGAGGAGTCAAACCAACTTAGTTGCCAGCTTTACAGCGTTATCTAAAGTTTTATATCATCAGCCACCATCAGCTTCTGGTCATTCCAGACCAAGTAAGACTGACGCATCAAAACCTTTAAAGTAGTGAGTTGAGTAAGGATGTTGTTTTCACTGCTTAGAATTTAAACTATTCATTTCCTAGAGGAAGATTGTGTTATTTGTTCTTTTTCGAAACTCACATCGTCATGCTTTGAAGCACTGACACGTCACTATGATCACAGCTGTGGTTTAAAATTAACTTAAATATATTTTTGTAAACTCACATGGTCACATGTAAACCATTAGACCAACATATAATCACCATTTTCTGGTTCGAAGCCCTTGAGGGGGAGAAAAACTTGATTGAACGGTTTCAGGGGAACATGCTGAAGCCTATTTTACAAGAAGCAGAGGAGAGGTATCCGGTTAAAGCACTTACTTTGCCGCAGAGCCGAGCTGCTTCAGGATGCTCAGAGACTGCCGGAGCATGCTGGCAGTGGAGCTCAACCAGCTTTTCTACCTGACCACCTCACTCCTGCTCAGCCTCACGAAGTTTCCTGCTTCAATTTAAAAAAAAAAACGTCCACACAGGGTCCAGCTGTGTCACTTCATCAGGAAAAAGAAGGCACGGACCGGCTGCTCTCCCCTCTGCCTCTGTTGGTTGATGTTTTTGTGTATTTATGTGTATGTGTGTGTTTTTTTGATATCGGTTTTCGTTCTTGTTTCAGGAGCGCGCTCTTAAGTAACATCTGACACAAGTCAGTGAATGAGGAAGTTGCACGGATGAAGTGTCAGCTGTGAGGGGGAAGAGAGATTTTTCAGGCTTGATTGTCACACTATGCTTTGAGCCTGTAAAGACCCCACTGCTACATCTACTCACAGAGTAGACAGCTTTTCTGCAGAGAAAAATGCACTATTTCCTTATTAGAGGGTAAATCTCTATGTAACACTTGAACAGTAATAAGACATTTGTAGATTGGAATCTCATTAAATGTCTTAATCCGTGGAGTATTCTGTCACTGCTTGTAATAGGAGCGATGCTGTCCCTCTCAAAATGTCTCCCAGGCAGGCTGTGGTTAGTTTGTACTTCTGTAAATGCAAACAGTATGTGCTAAAAAGCTGAAAGGATGTGAAAAGACCAAAAGAGGAAACTATCAATGCTGCTGGCTCAGACAGTATCCCCCTTTTTTTTTCAATCATTAAATTCAAAAATAATTTTTATTTAAATCTGGCTCTACTCAATTTTTTGTTGAACCTAGGCGGTTTCAACATTGTTTTTTATTTTTGTCTCACATTATCTGTTTCCTTTTCCTTATCCCCTTAAGTTATTTTAGTTTCATTTTTTTCTTTTTTTCTTTTTTTGTTTGCGTTTTTACTAGATTTTTTTTTTTTGCCATTTGCAGAAGAAATAAGCCGTAAAACAATAGTGACATATTATCAGTTGGTTTCACTTGTTAGCAAACAGTTGCTAATTTACGTGTCCAGCCAATGTGGAGCAACATTAGCATTTATTCATTCTTTCATTCATTCATTATAAGGTCTTATAATAAATCCATGCTTCTTACCTTGTTCCTATCCATTCTCACGCCTCGTGCCTAAACCCGACCAATCCAACCAGCGAAGGCAACGATCGTTAGCCAATCAGAGGCAGCGTAGGGCGGGTCATGTCAACTCTACGATTCTTGAGTTTACATCCGGCTGCTGTAGCATTGATAGCTAACCTAAGGATAAAATCACAATGGCGGGAAAAAAAAACGTATTGCAGATTTATATTGGGAAAACGACCAGCTAAAGAGAGCACAGATGAAGTCCAGCCTTCCCAGGAGAGCAGCTCCACATACGCTACGGAAGCTAGACCCGGTCGGAGTATCAGCGCTAGCACCGCCACCGTTGAGGAGCCTGCTAACAGGTGTCAAGCTAGGACTGATTTGGCGGCATTTGAGGAGCTTTTCCAGCCACATAACTTCAATTTTCCGACCAGACGTTTTGAGAAAGAAACTTTCAGCCACCAACTTGGTTTGCTAAATGTAAGTGTCTTCATTACGTGGCGGAGTGTGGTCAGGTTGTGTGGTTTTGCTTGCGTGAAGAGGCAGCAGAGGGGAAACAGTTGATTTGGTGCCACTTCACCTTCCCGAGGAGCTGGACCCAGGCCGTCCTGATCTCCAGCTCAAAATGCCAGCGGACCTTCTCCACCTTGTATCACGTCAAAACATGGCTACAGCAACACCATGACCCAGAAGAGACTGACTGACCTCTCCCTGATGCATGTCCACACTGACAATTTGAACTCATTGGATATCCATGCCCTTAGGAGAGACTTAATTTCCACGACACCGCAGTGCAGTGCCACACTTGGATTATTACAACTACTGGAGCACCTGGCCTGCAGCTCAAGGTAAGATATTTGGTTTACTACAAACTGCCGCTGAGCAGTACCGTACTGTGACTCACTAAAGAAGCAGCGTACCAGAGGTTACTGTCTAAATAGTGATAATAAAAATGGTTCCTCAGATATATGAATAAATACCTGTATTACTTATTCATATTGTTTACCTGTATTTATTCATGTCTATACACAAACATGAAATACACACGTCATATAACCATACAAATTGTGAAATAATCCAATATTAATCACAGTAATTTCGCACTGAAATGCATTTTTGTATGCAATTATTTGTTTTTTTTTGTTTTTTTTCAGTCTATTTTTATTTCAGTCTTTGTCTCATATGTGGACAGACGTGACAGAGCCAGTTGTGCAAGGGTCAATTACATAAACGGCTCTTCTGTTCGTCTTTATCAGCAGATAAAGATTTTGTGATAAAACAAATTATGAAATTTAAAGATATTTGGAAAAATGGCTTTGTGAAATAAAAACAGATTACAGAAAAAGTATGTATGAAATAAAAAAAAAAGTCTGCAATTAAATATAAAAAGTCTTTTGTTGTGAGGTAAGCATGATGAAATGATTTAAAAAAAAAAAAAAAAGTTTTTTGTATTGGATTATTTAACAATTTCATGGTTCTAGATCAGTTTCTTTAGTTCTTGTTTGTATTACAGTTAAATATCTGTAACGTGATGACGGGAGCTCAGCTACATACCGTAACTGCCATTACACTCTCAACCCTGCAACACGTTAGTGAGCAGTGCTGTGAATTTACGAGAACACAACTTGACATCTAGTCACAAGTTTTGACTTAATGAATTAGTCTGACCTTCTGTATAGATTCTCATGTGGAGGAACAATAGCATCCAGCTTCCAATGCTTTGTATTGCTGAACATCCTTCTGAGATTAGGTGCTGCCCAGGTGGAGGTTGGTGCCGGTCAAATGCTGCAGTCTAGTGGTGACATTAGCAAAATGCACAGGACTAACAAGAGTAGGATACCCTTTGAGTGTTTCAAATAAGTAAAATCAATGTGTCATGAGTCTAATGAGTAACAGTTACATAACAGAAACACAATATAGTCATTTATCTATCAATGAATTTATTTTTAAAAATGACTTCAAATACATGATGGAAAACCGGTGGAATTCATTTTTATGCTGCGGCTACATTTCTCACACATTGTGGTTTCAACTGTTGTTCTTTAAGCTACTTCCATATTATAGGGAATACGGTTTTTCCTGATCAAGATATTTCCAAATCCACCACATACCGAGTTACCAGTTTATTATGTACACCTGTGCAGTCTAAACAAGACAAATGCCCTGCAGTAAATCCTGTCTTTGTGAAGTTTATGAAGTTTCACTGTCAGAGAGGCGTTGAGCTGTCTGTGATCATTTTGGAGACTGATGTAGAATACTTAACAAACTAACTCAGTGTAGGCTCTTTGCAGTGCTTTAATTACAGGACAAAGACCGTGAACTGGTCTTGTGTAAACTCCGAAAAGGCAACAGAAGATGCAATCCTTCCTAAAGAACCACAGAGGATCCCATCAGAAACAGGGCAAGGCCACAGTCACTGAGGCAGTTTGAGACAATGCTTTCCAGCACTGATGTTTAACAACTTAAAAACTGCTAATTATAGGCAATTCAAGTAAAATTCCTGGTGCTTTGGGCAAAGGATTACAAAACACATTTTGAAACACTTTTGAACTGACAGCAATAAGAAGATCCAATGAAGTAAAATGTAAATTTGGGAAAGATCCAGGAGACAGCAAAAGAAACTAAATATTTACTACTTTCTAAACGTGGTATTTGATATGAAAACTAATTTACCAACTCTGTAAATTGCCAAATGAAGAAGTGGCTCAAAACAAGGCAAAACCAACACTGGGACAAAGATAACATTGGTGGGGAAAGCAGAATAATTTGGGTCATGTTTTGATGAAAATTAGACTATTGCATCATGAAAACATATCCACTGAGATGCAGCATGCCATTTTTGATCCAAAACAAAATACTTAACTACATAGTATATTTCTTATATATCAGTTTATCCTCTGAATAGTGTTCTTTCCTCCATCTTTCACTGATTTGCCTTCTTACAAAACAGGTGAGATGGAGGGAAAAGTAAAGCACCAAAGAAATCCTCATGCACGCTCACTGTAATATCTGTCCAGTCATGAAGTAAACTTGGATTATGTAACCTTGTAAAAATGTATGAATCAAAAAGGAATGGAAATAACTTCAGCAGCTTTAGAATTAAAACCCTGGTGGGTGGGGAAGAATAAAGAGGCAGTGAAGCACTTGGAAAACCTGAAATTGCCTCCTATTGAAACTTCAAGAAATTTTAAAAAGAAAACTAGAGGCATCCCAAATGTTGCATTCCTCTTCATCCTGCTTTGCTCCACCCGTTTTCCCTGCCCTGATCACACTGTGATGGAAGACCCACGCCCCTCTGATTTGAAATGAGGGACAGGAGTTCAGGAGCACCCCTGATCTGACACCACTTGTATTGGTCCCCTCCCCGTTCTTCTCATCCAGATCTCCTTCTCTCTCCATCCCTCTGAGATTGAAGTGCATGATGAAGCTTTCAGATGAAGGACTAGCGCTTTGCTTTGGCTTCTTCTGCTTCTTTTTCTGATAAAAAATAAGAAGCAACATAAACAAGTGTGTAAAGTTTTTCATTTCAAAAATAGTAAAATCCATAAAACTGCTCCAAACACTTGGAGTCCTTAAGTCTGCTGTTGTAAATTCTATTTATGAGGAGAGTACAAATAAGCCGCTAAAACACATTGTATTTTCTACCTCCATGTCAGGACAGAGGTGTTCGGTACAAGTACAAACACATTAACCAATAAATCCTCAAGCTACAGTGAGTATACTGAATCATCATGTCACAATAAGTAGCTTAACAAACACATTGCAATAACTCTGTTGATGTGGATGTTTGCTGAAGTATTAGCCTTACGAACAGCACCTATAAAAGCTTGAGGTTTTGTAGATGACTGAACGAAAAAATTAAAATCTGCAATGGGATTCATAATTTCCAGCCCTCGTATATATTGTTTAAAATTTACAGAATAGGTCTGTGTTCATTGTTGTGTTTTCTCACCTTTCCTGAGTTCATCTCTCTTCTTGGCAGCTTCCTCCCTCTGTTTCTTGATGATGGCCAGTCTGGCTAGGTCAGCCCTGGCCTGCTCAGTCTTTCCCTCAAGATGGAGCTTCATGTAGCGCTCCTTTGATTTCTGCTTCTCTATCTCCTCTCTGAGAGAATAGATGAGAAGAGAATAGAAGAGAATTCACATAAGGTAAAGTAATACTAATAATTTTGCAGTACAACAAAATAAAAACCTGATGCAACAAACCAAGGTTAAGAGACATTGTACAATTTCAGAATCTTAGCAAAACAAAATAACAAATCCAAATATGGTCTTTTGAGTGACTGAGCAACACTTACCTCTCTCTGCGAGTCAGTTCTCTGGGAGCAGTGACGTCTACTTCAGCCACCTTCTTGCTCTTCTGAGACACACGGTTTGGATTCTCAATTTCTATAAGCCCCTCCACTCCACTCCTCCTCCTGGACTGTGAGCAAAAAGAAACACCTTTATAATCTCAATGAAACAGGAAGATGACTCTAGCTACCAACACAGAGCTGTTAAATAAATGCGGATCCTTGTGAGTTCATTGCCCGCCTGCTATTGTGATGTTATACCCTTTTTACACCAAAATTAGCAGGTACATGCAGGTAAACTGCTGCTAACAAAGGTTACTGACTCCTTTTACACTACCAGCCGAGTTCTCCTTTCACAGAGGACACACACAACTGCAGGAAGCAATGTCATCACATGCAGTTATAGAGCACAGACACAGGGTGTGAGCTGCTAGCAACCATGCAGACTGGTAAAATGGATAATTCATGTCTTATACCCAGGTTGGTGATCCTCTAAAACAGCAAACCAGCAACATCGGCTACAATGGCTTTTAAGAGGTAAATCCATTTTAGCAAGGCCAAACTTTACAGTATGTATTAGGTGTGGTCTTAGTCCTTCAGTGGCAAAGAGCAAGAACTTCTTTCTAGACTAAGAAAGATTCAACAATCACAAAGAGAGAACTACATGATAGAAGGTCAACAGTGACCTCCAGATCAGAGTCAGAATGTATCTTTGCATATCTGTCACCAGAAACATCTAAAATACAAAACCTTTGTTGACCATTTTGAAATTTTAACAATTGGGTTTGGGACCTGACAGACTTGTTCTCCCTGTGCTCTGGCATTTGCTTGACTGGAACTTTCTACAATGTTTCTGCTCAAACATGCAGAGAGCTTCATTTTCTGTTGATTTTCAGAAGAAATTTAAGACAGAATTGTTGACAGAATGATAGAAGCAGCTGGAGGGAAAGCAGATACAAAGAGTAGTAAATTACCAATCTACATCACAGGGTAGTTCATACATCACCAGAGCACTAAAGATTCAATTCAAAGCTACACTAAGAAAACTTCAATTTCATGCCTGAGTTATTACATAGAGGAAATTTTCACCCACAGCCAATAAGCAAATCACGCAGTTTTACTAAGTCAGTAACATCACTCACCTCAGACTCCTCGTCACTGCTGCTCTCTTCTTCAGACTCTGCAGAGCTCTCTTTTTCTGCACCAGCATTTTCTTCCTGTGGACATACACATAAGGTCACACCTGACCTGACTTTTCAGCAACGCCATTCTACCACAAAAGGTATTTAACTCACCATCTCTCTCTGCACCCTCATCTGTCGGTCAATCTCCTCAGGGTTGCTGAACTGCTTTCCTCGGCCCTTATGGCCCTTTTTCCCTGCAACATAGTTGAGTAGAGTTGTTACTGGCATATAGACAGCATCCAAATGTAAAGCACACTACAGAGTTTACTTAAATCTTTAAGAAAACTGGGGACACATTTATGTTAATGCTAAATTGCAAGCTGGGGGTGGAGACAAAAACAGTAACACCTGTACAATACAATATGATTCAATACAGCAGCCCTTGAAAAAATATTACCATAATATAGTTTTTGTCTGTATTGGCAAGCCTGAACTAAACACTGATCATTTGAGGTCACAGTTTGTGGTGATGTATTATTAAATGGCATTAAATGGAACAGGTCTGTGTCCAGTCCCTGAATATGGGCACAGATCTGGTCAGAAACAGATCGCAGCACAGTTCAGGTAAGTGTATCTACAAATCAACAAACAAGATCTCACGATATTAGTGTGAAAATACGCAGAGACTGTGTGTGGTGGGAGATGAGTCACACATGACGTTCACCGAGGGCCAGCTCCCTTCACCGGCAAATGTTATGTCTACTGAGCGTTAGATATGGACATATAAACAAAAATTAGCCAGATAGATAGCTAGTGGATACTTTAACAAAGTACTTGTTAAAGTATCTGGCGATAGTGACAACCGCGAACTGCCAGGAATTGATGTAAATATTATTATACATGTTAAAGTAAGCCGAAGCGGTCTCGTGTGCACATGGTACTGGCTGTTAAGTACAACTTACCAAAATTCTAATCATTCAAACCGCTATCTATGTTGAAATTACAAACAAGCTGTTAACTGTGTTCATGTGACGACATTAATTAACGACTGGTACGTTTGCTGTGACTTCCCGGAATCGCTCATACCCGTAAATTACACTCTGCTAACCGGTTAGCATGCTAGAAGCTAAGCATGTGAGAGTTCAACAGGAATTCACACTACTTTAGCTAGCAATTGGCTAGCTAGAATTAGCTTGCTAAAATTTAGCATGAGACGTTAAATATGATAACAGTGCTTACCGCCTCGAGGCATTATTAAAAGTGAAGATTATACAGATGAAGTCCGCTACTATAGGGCTGAACAATCTGACAGTTGTACAGGTAAAATCGTCGGTTTAAACAGCTAGAAGAAAAGGCTAGAAACTACTTCGTGCCTCCCGCTACCGGCAGAGCAAACGTCGAACGACTGCATTCAGTTGCGACAGTTTGCGCATGCGTAGCTAGGACCATTCAACCAATCGCTACACGGCAGCATTTGACTGACATGTTGATCCACCAATTAGCTAAAGAGTGCAAAACTAGTTCATAAAGGCTGTACCTCTCATTGACAGGTATACTTAATTGATTCGATTGTATCATGGCGATTCTACCTCCTGTTTTCGGGGGAAGGGAGGGGTATAGTCTCACAAAAATATTTAAATTCCAAACTACATTTCACAAGTGGTAGAAATAGAGCATTACGTCATAATATTGATATTAATTGGACTGTGTAATAGAAATATTAGTGATGTAACAGAAGGTAAAAACACAAGCTTTTCAATCCTGGCTGGTAGAATATTTTTGCTAAGTACACACATTATACAATCCTGATCTCATATGAGATCTTTTTTCTTCCCAAGGTCAAGAATAAAAATTAAACTGCTAGGATTATTTAATAAGCAGCATTACTGCTCAGATACTGTGAAGAGCTGGTTGAAAAGCTAAAATAGTTATCAAAGTACTATTCTGTTCTCTTTGTTTTTGGTAGTTTGGTTGTATTCACAATTGTATATATATCTGTCAACTATTAATTTGTTATGTATGATAAGGTTGATTAAGGCATTACAATTCAAAAGGTATTAATCCAATAAGAGCAGATAAAAATGATTAATGATCAAACAAGAAAAACTGCTGCTTTCCCATGATGGATTTTATTTTCAGTCTTAATACAAAAAGTCTTAAAAAGAAATGTCAGACCATACTTGCCATACAAATGTAAAAGTCATAGAAAATATGCTGTGTATTGACAAAACGTGATGTTTCACTTGTTTCAGGTTTATGGAGATCTAATTAAACAAATGCAGGACAGAACAAATAAATAAAAGTAGTCACTAAATCTGATTCAACAGTACCTGCTTTTAAAATGAATACAAGCAGGGCAGAGACCTTCAAGCAAAAAAACAAAAAGACAAAACAAACCAACTTTTCTTTTACACACCAACAAACTTCAAACTGTCTCTGAATACAGAATACAAAAAGAGATAAATTCACTTCAAGAACATTTCCTTTGATGGAGGCATTAGATCCGATCTGTCATTTCTTCCTTCGATGTTGAGTCTTTATATCTTCCACTTCTTTCTCCATCAGGTGGTACTCTACTGTCGTCTCTGTCAACTAGAAGGGAAAGATTAGATATCAGTTATTCAACAGCTTTGGTGAGACACCAACCAACATCAGCCGTTGAATTGGTATTCAAATGTATAATTGAAATAATTAATTATAATCAAACTTTTTATACGAAAGCCAAACAGTGTTGGACCTGTGCTAAAACTATGTTGTAAGCATGGTCATACAGCCAGAGTGTGGTAATATGTATTAGCCCTCTCAAACAAGTAAACAAACTTTATCCCAAGTCACTACATTGGTGTAATGTAAAAGCATAATTAAAGCTGCTCAGCACTCACCATGTCCAAAAGGATTTCAATCTTTAGTTTCAGGAGGTTGTTTTCCTCCTCTAGTTGCACATTTTTTTTCTTAAGTCGCTGCAATTCCCTACCAGATGCATTCCCACCAGATTCTGTTTTTAACGAACAGAATAAAATGATTAAATACAATGTTGGCCATCCAGAGACAGACAATGATCTAGCACATATGGCAACACTTACAACTACACGAGTCTGTAGTCAGTGAGTGTTATCATCAAGTTATCACCTGTTATCCACTGTCCCTCTTCAAATTTCCAGCTCTGACCTCCAATGTTCATCACAGGAGGTCCATATTCAAGGCCCAGCTCTATTTCTCTTGTTGAGCGATCCAACTAAAAGAGATGACAAGGCAAAACACAACAAATAAGTCTGCGTGCAAACATAAATGAACAACAGCTGACAATGTAAAGCTAAACAATCTATATCTCAGTTCTCTCAAAACACGTCCTTCAGTTCATTTGCCTTTGTTTATCCTCTGGGTATATTTTCTTATTAATGAATGTAGATTTGAATTTGAACTTACTCATCAGTGCTTCTCATTAAAACAGCGTCTTTAGTACGTTCAGTTTATTGATACCGATGATGCCAAAGAACAGTAAATTCTGTGAACTCACCGTATGAAGGCTGGACAGGGATGCAGATTTGCGAGGTGGAGTCTTCTTCGGACTGAATGTGTTTCCAAAAAGCGGCATCTTTAGTGACTTTTTAAGGTCCTGTATAAGAGATGGTTCACCAATTAGTATGTTTTAGATACCAGTACCACGTAACCACAGGGTGTGTTTATCGTTGCTAATGGTACATTACCGAGCTAATGCTAGGTGGCTAACACTCGCTAGCTGTGAGCGCTACTCATACCTGACATTTAAGTGAAACTGTCGATTGTCTCACAGGTCGGTTAGTAGTTGTGTCACTGAAAATATATAGTCAATATATTTACCTCCATACAGACTATTTACTTAAATTCTTAACGTGGTGGCAGAAGTTTTTTTTCTCTCCAAACAAAACCATGCTTGCGACTGCGCAAGTGCGAAAGTTGCCATTCGTCTAAAATAGACAACTCTCTAAATATTGCATGGCTTTACTATGAAGCAATTTGATAGAATTTTACAACCACGTCAAGTAAAAGAAATATATATTTCAACCCAGAGCTCGAATACTCTGTTTAGGGCGATAATAGCACGTTTTAATACTCAAAGTCCCATGAGGCTAACATAAACACCCCGATGCGGAAGAGAAAATGGTACCATCCATGAAACGTAAACGCATCACCATGGTGATCGCTTCCTCCGGTCTTTCCATTATATTATAATGCCTTTACTGCTAATTCAGATAGATTAATTTAAAAAAAAGTGGTTACTTTAGAAGCCTCGTTTTTTAAAAAACGATCATATGATGATAAAAATGCAAACTATCCAACTCAAAAGAGGTCGTGAAGAGCCCCATATTCCGGATATAAAGTGAAATGACCCCGCCCCCTTGATACAGCGCCCCAGTGGCCTAATGGATAAGGCACTGGCCTCCTAAGCCAGGGATTGTGGGTTCGAGTCCCATCTGGGGTGGTCGTTTTTACGTTGGAGAAAAAGGAAACTGTTTCACGGATTATAATAATGATTGATTGACTAACAGATGTTTCAATCAACATTAACGCCAAACGAAAGACAGCGTTTAATCGGCTTCTGCGAAGTCGCACTTCTTCACCGTCGCTCTCAACAGAACTAACCATAATAACAATTATTTGCTGAAATACATGAAAGACAGACTCGCAGGGGAATATCAGCTGACATGGAGAAGCAAAGCCTAACACTGTGCGTACTGCTGAGCACTCTGGCTGCATCAGTGCAAACTTACCGTGAGTATCATTGGCGTGGTGTGTCCATACATGACGGAAACTAATTTTGAATCCAGTATAATTCAGTTAAACCCACTGTTGAAAAATAAATTCTCTTCGTTTAAATGAAAATTGCGTATGGCGGACAGATAGGCTACAGTTCATGGCACCTAGTTATACGTTAGGTTTTAAATAATGCTAATTTTGTTTATTCTATATGTCCATGATTAGAATGATTAGAATATATAGGCCTACCTCAATATTCCATATTAATATACATGTTTAAGCAATTACTACTCTTTTTTTAAAATGGTTTTGTGTTGTCTTATGTTTACTTATTAGTTTACTTGTATATGCAAACATACCCATCCAATAAGCCATGTTTAGTTTCAAATAGTAACTAAATTATACCTGTGTGTCTAAGCAACAAGCCCCCATGCTAGTCTATAAAGATTAATATTAATTTGTCTAATGACAGAAACCAGTCAAGCAAAAGCTGTGTCTTCCTTATAGTTCTTTCTATTGGTGTCATGACATTATCTTACGTAATGAGTGTTATCCAACCTCAGCCCCATAACCCTGTGCATCTTCCTGCAATGGTAGAGCTCCAAGAGGCCACTGTGTACTGGGATGCTGCCCAGAAGAGTGTGATCCTGAAGGAGGAGGTGATGGAGACAGATGGGGGAGCCTACGGTTACTTCAACGATTCTCTGCTCCTCTCTGGATGGGGTGTCTTGGAAATCTGCGCAGGTTATGGGGGAATCTCACAGGAAGACGAGACCACCTTCTTCCTGGCTGGGTACCTGGAAGGTTACCTCACTGCTGGGTGAGTAGCCCAACTCAGGTTGTTGATTATAGACTAATAATGTTATGTCTATGTAATCTGAATTCTGTTTTGCTGCTTCAGTTTCAGTGTCTTGGTATTGTGCATGCTGCCTAATTTTGTGGCTTACCGGGATACTTGAATATAGCCTATATTAAAGGCATCATTAATGTCATTAGCAGTGATGGAAGAAGTATTCAGATCCTTTGCTTGAGTAAAAGCACCAATACAGCAATGTAAAGTACTGGTTGCTCCAGACGTCTTCCATTAGAGAACTATGGAACCCGCTGTGGTCACCTCATGGCTTGGTTTTTTGGCTCTGATATGCTGTGAGACCTTGTATAGACAGGTGTGCGCGTTTCCAAACCATGTCCAAACAGCTGAATTTACTACAGGTGGACTCCAGTCAAGGTGTAGAAACATCTTAAAGATGATCAAGAGAAATGGAAGGGACCTGAGCTAAATTTCAAGTGTCACAGCAAAAGGTCTGAATACTTATGTCAATGTGATATTTCAGTTTTTAGTTTCTAATACATTTGCAAAAAAATCTAAAATCCTGTTTTCACTTTGTCAAAATAGATGATGATGTTTTCTAAATTCATTCACTTGAGAAAGAATGAGAGGAGCATTAACTGAAAAGATCTTTAAGATTGTGGTAGTATTTATAAAATGAGAAATAAAAGACAAATTTTAATTTGGATATAAACCTGAAATATGGGTGGGGTTGTTAAATTAAATTGCATTTCTGATTACAATTTTGACAAGGTATATTGTAATTTTAGCTTTAACCTTTGGATTGTGTTTTTTTAGTGTCATGGAAATGAAAATCCCCACTCTTCTTATTTCTTTCTCCATTGCAGACAGATGTTTAATCACTACTCCAACATGTACCCTCAGCTGATAAAGGATCAGAAGGTTTTGAATCCCCTGAAAAAGTTTTTGAGGTACAATCTTATTATCTGTCAAATGCAAAATGTAAAAATGGTGATTGTTATAATTTTGATTTTAGATGCATAACAAAAAATCATGCAGCAGATATGAGAAGCAACCAAATGCAGAAAGTGTGCCTTTCAATTCTCTCATTGATCGGCAGCAAACAGGACCAGTGGGCCAAGGAGCAGGTGAAACTGAGGAGAAACAGCGACCCCCTGTGGAAGCATCTGGGACTGATCCTGGCCCAGCTGGACGGACTCCACGCCGGAGCTGCACAGTGGGCCAAAAGCAAACACAGAGAGGTGTGTGAGTGTGTGTTGGAGAAGTGGGTGAAAGAGTTGTCACAGTATCATTTCATTCATCGCTGCCACTTTCTTCTCCCCTCCCTGCCCAGCCTCTGTCAGCGTTTGCAGTCCAGTTTCTGAACGGCGTCGGTGACCTCCTGGACCTCGTCCCAGCCCTGACACCTCGCTCCAACTTCTCCACAGGGACCGGCACTTTCAGGATGCCAGGAATGGGCCACTGCACTGCTCTCATAAAGGTTAAGCCAAGCTCATTTGGCTCAAGCTGTGAGGTAGCACTTGGGAAACCTCAGCGTAGGCTTAATTGCTTTAATTGTGAGCCTTGTGTATGGGTTTCCTCTTGTAAAGTGTGTCAATGAGTCTAAGAGGCCATTAGGAGGGGGATATTTTCTCTTCCACCTACAGCTATTCAGGGAACAAAAACAAAGTGCAAATGGAGGACAGAGTGCGATCAGAAATCCTGCATCATTATGTTGTAATTAATGCCATTTTATTTCTTATTATCTGGTTTAATTACAGGAACCTCAATGCCGCTGTTATTTCTGTTAATTAATTCACTTAAGTTGCCTCTAATTTACACAAAATGTTTCCTACAATTTGAAGGTTATTACTAAAGTTGCCACATTTAATGAGAGAGATAATCAAAAGCAGGTTTCAGCTGCGTCTGTTGAGAAACGAAGGAGATCAAAACCTTCAATAATGGGGCAGGGTACATTTCATGTAACTATGGTAACCTAATTTAAATCCAGTCAGTTTGCTTAAAAGTGGAAAAAATTTGGATAATTACCAACACAACAGAGAGTCTGTCACCATGCTAGCTGGCTGTCTGAGCTAAATGCATATGCTCGCTTGGCAACATGCTATGACAATAACAATGCTAACATGCTCATGTTTAAAGTTGTGTGTGGTTTAGCATGCTAATACTTTCAGATTAGCACTAAACACAAGTTTACAGCTGAGGTTGATGAGATTATATTGAGTTCTACAGGTATTTGGTCATAAACCAAAGTATTTAGGCAAAACAAATTTTTTACATTTAGGTCAATTGTTATTATATTTCCAGGGTAATTCTTCTACTTAAAAAAAACATACATGCTTCAATACATTCTCTTGTTTCTCTGTGTCTCAGGTGCTGCCAGGCTTTGAGAACCTGCTGTTTGGCCACTCTAGCTGGTACACTTATGCAGCCACCATGCGCATCTATAAACACTGGGACTTCAGGGTGTTTGACACACACACCGCCACTGGAAAGATGTCGTTCAGCAGCTACCCTGGTACACACACACACATACACACACATGCACACACACACACATACACACATGCACACACACACACATGCACACAAACATATGAGCTGCACACGACTCTGTACACTTTCTCCTAAAAGAAGTAAAGTGGGATTTGCAGCTTGTAGTTGAAATAGTGTTCTCTGAGTACATGACCTAAATTTTGAGCAGTGCAAGTTTGTGAACCTGCAGCACAGTGAAGCACGACTTTCTTGTAAAAGCGCTGAGCTGAGGTGAACGGCTTGTCCTTAATCCACACAGTTTTATTTTCATCTTGGAAAATACAAACACCGACATCAAGGACTTAACCCAAATCCTCAATGGACATTTTCTACAGAACGTAATTCTTCTGCTAAGCACACGGCTTAGTCAGTGACAAGGAAACATCTACCACAGTGTGCGTACACCCAAACAGAGCCACGATGAAATGGATTCCCTCACTGTCAAGTGAGAGGACGCTGAGTAATTTTGCGGGCAAAGATTTTCCAAGTGGTCCAGGCCATAAAAATCCTCTTACAGGCTCCATTGCTATCAGAACACAAGTGGTTTTAAAGCTCTATTTTTAGAGGCCGGGAGGCCAAGGATATCATTTCACTATATTAAAAAGAAGAGATGAGTTACACTGCTGCCAGTGGAGGTGGTGTGTGACCCCTGCAGCCTTCCTAAGCTGCTTTCTGTCTGACATTGACAAACATTTAGCATACACAGCAGATCCGGGCCAACAGAAAACTTTATACACAAGTAGAGGTCACGGTGGTGCAAATATTCCTCTCTTTATCATAGTTTTTTTCTATAGTAGCTGCAGCAGCATTGTGTTCTTATTTTCAGTAGCAGTAACAGGAGCAGCTGTAGTATGAGTCCACGAGCCATGAGCCATGCTACTATTAATGATACTAAATCCCATAATAGAAATGATTGAAATGCAAGTGAAAGCAAAGATACATCAGTATAAGATTCTACAGTTTGTGTAATGTACTGCATTATAGTGGTACAAATTTGAACTATTTTATATACTGTTGGGTAATTTAATGCAGAAATGTGCCGTATTTTGTAAGATGTTATTTTTCGTTTTGAAAGATCTTAATCAGCAAAGCAACTAGTAACTAAAGCTGTCACGAAATGTAGAGGAATAAAAAGTTGAATATTTCCCTATGAAATGTCGTGGAGAAAAAGTATGCAGTAAAAAAAAAAAAATATCACTAAACTATTGCTAAATATTGAGGTTATGAAAGCTGTGGGTTGTAGTTACGGGTAAAAACGATTTCATCACATCTCTGTTTACCTTCCCCTCCTTTTTCAAATATTCCCTTTTAAATCTTTGTCCTAAAATGCCTTCCTCCTCTCATATGACCACCACTTCCTCCTCCACCTCCTCCTCCTCCTCCTCCAGGCTTCCTCATGTCTCTGGATGACTTCTACCTGCTTGGGAGTGGCCTGCTGATGACTCAGACCTCCATCGGTGTCTTCAATACCTCTCTGTTCTCCCAGCTCAGCCCTCACAGCCTGCTGGCCTGGCACAGAGTCCGCCTGGCCAACAGTATGGCACGCAGCGGAGAGGAGTGGGCGCACGTTTTCTCCAGATACAACTCAGGTGAAATCCTGTCGAGATTGATTTTTTTTTTTTTTTTTGTCCATTATTGCTGAAACATTATTATCAGACTCCAGAACTATCAACCAAACAACCACATAGACCCAAAAATGTGAAGCATGTCATCATGTATTAGCAAGGTTTTCCCTTTAAGGAAGAAGATTGTCTTTGAACCTCAATTCATCTTCATTATCGGTGTGTCATTGCACTGGAGAGGGATTGGTTGCTAGGGAGTACACATACTAAAACAGTTGCAGGATGTCAGACTTTACTTTAGTAGTTCAAAGTGAATTAAATTATGTTTATTTGAGTAATAGAAAAGCAGGAGAGGACAGAGAAATAATAAGGAAATGAGACTTGCGGGAAGGCATGAAGGATTACCTTGTTGTGGGACTAAACCTTGACTATGTAAAAAATCCCAGGACAAATTTCCATTCGCAGACTCTCAAACAGAGCATCCTTCTTGTTACACAACACTTGTGTGTGTTAATTGGGCAGCTGCTTTGATCTTTCACGTCATGTTGCTATGGGAGGCCAGAGGAGAACAGGACAGAGTGTTCTTGAGACTGACAGACTGTCATCCTCCAGTAGCCTCTGCTCTCACGCTCACCGTCCTGCTCTTGTGGTGGCCTACAGGCAGCTGACGTGAGAGCCTTTACCTTTGCCTGTGTTTTCATTTCATTTAGATTGGGTTAGGTGTGGGATTTACTGTCTGAGCGAGTCAGTGCGTCCTTGAGCATAAATTAACTGTTTTTCTTCCACTGGTTCCAGATGCCTCAGGCACATGCAGGACTGTGCATGTTATTTTACCTGTGCGAGTCATTTGCCAGCAGCCAACATCAGGAGGTTTTATATCAGCAAGAGAAAGAGTCTGCAGCTGCTCTGACAGCACTGTGAGGCGGTACCTTATTTGCATAGTGGTGTTTTCGGGTAAACGATAACGCCATCATGCTAACATGCTCACAGTGAAATTACTAACATGCTGAAAAGTTTGTCAAGTTTAGTTTGCAAAGTAGCACTAAACACAAAGTATAACTGAGGCTGATGGTGCAATCCACCCAATCATTGTTGGGACATCCCACTCAAAACCACAAAAGGAATCATGATACATCATGTAGGAATCATGATTATCTGTACAACATTTCATACAAACCCATCGAGTAGACATTAGGTTATTTTACAGGATAAATGAGAACTTTAACTTGCTGATGGATCAGTAAAGTTGTGAGGATTCTTCCTTTGGGCACCGTGTATTACATGGCAATCCATCCAGTTTTTGTTGAGTCACTTCTGTCTGAAATAGCTGCCTAACATCAGTTCTCAGATGGATGTCAGGGCATTCTTGAATGTGCCACCAGGGAGAGATTTGAAACGATCCCTGCTCTCAAATTTTAGAGCAGAACAGACCTGTGATCAGAAATGGAAGTTAATAATAAAGATGACATCTTCTTTACTGTGACGGACTAATCTGAGTTTTAAGGCAAGTAAATGAAAAAAACTAAATGTTTTAGCGTGAAACCAGTGGCTGCTTTTTAAATAAGAAATCAAAACCTAAAAACTAACAGCACGCTTAGGATAATGGTCAGCACTTAAGTAGAATGTATGTGATTTTTGGTTCATGGTAAAACAAAATCCTTTTATGGTACGTTCAGTTTACCTTGTTAAAGGCCTTAAATTTTTCAGACTGATAAATTAGTTTTGTTGGGTCATCATGGGCAGGAAACAGAGCTTGTTGCTTCCTATATTTCAGGTACATATAACAGCCAGTACATGGTGGTGGACCTGAGCAGGGTCTCTCTGGGTCACAGCATCAGGGACGGAGCTCTAACCGTGGTGGAGCAGATTCCTGGGAAGGTGATGCACTCTGATCAGACTCCAGCTTTACGCAGAGGTAAGAAGCAAACACTTGTGTGTATCTGTCCGTATGCTGTACGTCGGCTGTAACAATGTGTCTGCACAACTTCCACCTTCAGTGTGTTACACTCGGCAGGTTATTGGCCGTCCTACAACATACCGTTTCATGTTGACATCTACAACCTGACTGGGTACGATGTGATGTGGAAGAGATACGGAGTAGACTTTTCCTATGACCTCTGTCCTCGAGCTAAAATCCTCCGCAGGGACCAGGCCAAGGTCTCTAACCTCAACTCCCTCAAACACATCATGAGATACAACAGTAGGTAGAACAGTAACTCCTGCATTCCTCATATTTTATATCTTTCCTGAATACGAAGGGCTTTAGAGATGTGAAAATATTCAGAAATAATAAATCATTCAGGATATTGTTGCTGTTTTCAAACCGCAGCATGAGTAAAGGTCAGACTGGTTTTCTGTTGCAGACTACAGGAGAGACCCCTACTCCAAGGGCCATCCGTGTAAAACCATCTGTTGCCGTAACGACCTGAGACCAAGGAGACCACACCCGGGAGGTTGCTATGACACTAAGGTCAGAGGTCGTGAGCACATTAGTGTCAGAGTCAAGTTTGAGAAATGCTCCGTACTTTAGTGAGAAGATTCTGTTTCTTAGTGCAAGTTCATGTGGTTTTGGTTATTTAATTCAAGACAACATTAATGACAGAAGTTACATCACATTTTGAATATTGGTAAACTTTATACCTGATATATTCACTAAAGCTGCTTTAAGGTGAGATCATAATGTAGGAATAATATGGCCTTTTCTTATTGTTTTTGGCTTGTCGTTGTGGACCACCACTGTCACAAAGGTCCTCTCCGATCCCAGCTACCTAAAATGTTTCACTCATTCAAAACCACAAATGTCAACCTCACGGTGGAGCTGGTAGAAAAGTCAGACGATCCCCAAAGGCATTAGGATGGGAGCAACGGGAGCAATTCATGTGTGTTTAAAACTTGGTGCCCATCCATCTCATAGATGTTGAGATATTTCACATTATAAGAGAAAAAATGAACCTGCTGGTGATGCTAGAGGAAAGGTCAGGGGATCGCCAAACTCGATAGGATTCATCCTCCATCCACAATAATTTTGTTAGACTGCTAGGCGACAGTTTTCTTAGAGGCTTCTCCTCTCTAAAGAAAAAAAAAACTGAGGGGATTCACTGAATCCTTTTCATTTCTGCCTGGAAAAAGGTCAAATTTAATTTGATCAGCATCTTAAAAAATGTCATGGAACCCACATTGGGAAACATTATAAGTGAAGCACAGGTTTTGAATTACCAAACTCCATTAATGGCAACAGAGATGTCTTCCTGGATGTGCACAATATAAATCTGTTATTTGAACCTTATTAAATGTCTGCACTTACTTCTTACTCACTCCCTCCCTTGTTCCCTCCCTACAGGTGACCGATTACCAGATGGCTCTGCAGCTGGTCGCAGAGGCAATAAACGGCCCCACGACGCAAGGGGGTCTGCGGCCGTTCTCATGGCAACCCTTCAACCTCACGACTCATCGGGGTCTCCCGCACACCTACAACTTTCCCTTCGTCACCATGAGGCCCTCACTACGCCGACCCTGAGAGCACAGAGATGGGAGGTACCATCCTAAAATGTTCTGAACATCCTGGTCTGTGTGTGATAACTGGGCTCAGTTTAAAATACTGGCAATATATAATCCATATGTCCCACTAATTAACTAACAGTGTGGTGGTGTGAGTTCATTTTGGAACAAAGGACAGTTGAGACTGAATGATTGGAAGAATTAATGACAGCTAGCTAGTTGCTAGCTAGAACATTTTCTGTTCAATAAATGTCAATAATTGTTGTGAATATTATACTTTTCTAATGATCAATGAAAGTGTGTTTTGACATGTAAGCTGGACTGACATTTCCCTAACACATTACTGTGCACAAAGATACATATAAACCTCCCGGTATGGCACAAAAACAAAAAAAAAAAATTGCATAAGCCTCACCTCTGCTGCTACAACTCCAGTGTAAGGGAAACACTGTAAACTATTTACTAATCCATTAGTACATGCATTGGTTGTTTGTACTGAACACAAGCCATTAGATGTTCCTGTTGTGACAACTACTGCTCTCCTCTTTCAGTGTACATTCGAGAGTGGCAGTATCATGCCAGTGTACACTGAATTAACATGAGGATTATGGATTTATCAACAGACTGTTTAAAAGTTTGCTCCACAAAGTTTTGGATGGTTGCCATCAGGGAAATGTCCTTAATGTTTTATTTATATATTAAGATAATCATTTATTTATGTTGTTATTTTGTTTTAAGTTCTATGCAATGTTTACTCAGGTTTGCTCTGTGTGGAGCAACATTTTCAGACTGATTTTATGTAAATATTAACGACAATAAAATCTTCATGCATTATAAATAGTGGCGCATTTTCTTTTGAAGTAAGTATTCGGAATAGTTTCACAAAAACTACAAGACCCAGTTTTTGGTGTTAATCAAGTTAATCAAGGCCAACGAGACCTAAACCGGAAGTGGTGCAACTTTATTTTCAAAATAAAACAAGTTCACATATCTGAAGAACTGCTCATCACTTAAATTGAGCAGATTATCTGGATCAAATACAGAATAAAACCCACAACTTAAATAAAATAGAAGGATAAAAACAACATTTTTACACAACGTTTGATTGTGTATAAAATCAGGTTCTCCACCATTCCCGGTGAAATGTATATTTAACTTTGTTTTACCCAAAGGCTGAGATCTCAGCCTGTATGGTATAGATTTAAACCTTTAAATACTGTATGTAACACTAAATTGCAATATATATATATATAATGAAATCGTAGGCTTTTAAAGTGATACATGTACTATTATTAATCTACCAAATTTTGGGGGTTTCCTGTTAGGATCTGTTTTTATAGGCTTTATCATTTCAGTTTATCTTGTACTCACATGGTGCATGTACATGTAACTAATTGCACATTTCTCCTCAGATAGTGGGAGATACACAGGGCCAATAGGAGTCCACAGTTAATACCTCATAAAGTTAACCCACATTTTTCATACCTCCTGTAAATGTAAATTTCATATTCAGATTTGGCAGCTATGGTTATGCGGCTTTTATTTTGAAGGCCCAAGTCGGATGTACTCTGTGTCATTTCCTGTGCCTTGACGTAGCTGATCTTTGAGTTTGTGCGGGTTGGGGGCGGAGCGTGCTCGGTTGGTAACGGAGAGAAGAAGCCGAGGCAGCAGCGGTTGCGGACGGACGCCCTCGCTCGTCTACACTTCGTGTCTAGCGGCTTTTTCCCAAATGGCAACGACGGCGGACGACCAGCGGGAACCGGCGGACGTCGCTGCGCTGTCGACACACCACGGCTGCCAGCACCACAACAGCAACAACAACAACAACAATAACAACAACAACAAAGACAGCGAGGCGGGAGAGAGCGCGACCTCCGCCACCGCCAGCACGACTGAACCCGGCGGGACGGCGTCGCAGAGCATCGGTAACGGCTCTGTCATCAACCCCAACGGCGGGAGTAACGGGAAGTGGGTCCGGCTGAACGTTGGCGGCACGGTGTTCCTCACGACGCGACAGACCCTCCTCAAAGAACAAACTTCGTTCCTGTACCGGTTGTGCCAACAGCAGGACCTGCACTCAGACACGGTGAGTGCAGCCCGGACACTTTAATCCCCGGTGAACGTTACTTCTCAACAGGCGAAACAAAAAAAACGACCATTTAGTCACAACACGGGCTTTACACGTGTCTGTGGTAGTTAGTAATAAGCTCATTCACTTGGGGGGGGGAAGCTTTAATATTCCTAAAAGGCTTGTAAAGTTGTGTTTTTATATTTGTTAGCCAATTTATGTCTTAATTAACCAACATTTATTATTCCTTTTGAGAAAAGCCATCTCTTAAACATGGCTGGTAATGGCCTGACCCGAGGGGCATGTGAAACTGACCCTTCTCTGGGTTTTTAAATGGTGAGACACCACAATAACATCTTAAAAACATTCCTGTTGTAGCTCATAGTTTGTGGTCATCAGCACTCTGGTGTGTGTTTTTGTTTTTCATCTGTTGTAACTCTAAACCCTCCCAGATGCTGTGTAACATACATTTGTTGCATTCCTCTAAAATATCTCACCCTGATTTGTTTCCACTGGTGTGGAAGGTGGATTTGCCCTAACATGGTTAAACAATTTGGCTGCAACATGTGTGCAGGTCTTGGCATGAAGTGAAGTCCATTTTGGTCTTGGTGATAGAAAAACCAGTTGTATATCTAATAGAAGCCAAATACAGAAATCATTGTCCCAAATTTGTGCAGTATGATTATTATTTTTTTTTTATCTAAGGATCATAGCAGCCTTTCAGGAACTAACTATATTACTTAGTATTATCTGTAAAGTGCACCATTCCCAAAACCCATTACTGCAACTCTGCTCTGCCCCAGAAATGCAAGCCTGTAGCTTCAGAGCAGGCATGGCCTTGTAAAATGACCAGCTGATATATGTGCAGTATTAAGCGCTCTCATTCCCTCCTTTCATCCTCCCGCGTATGCGTGTGCGTTTGTCTCAGCATCATTCTGTGGCGTGAATGTAGCTCGAGTCAGATGGATGAACACGTGCCTCCTCTTCTGCGGGGAGCTGCACAGTCAGTAGCTGCTGTACAGCTGGCATCTTATGGGGAGAGAGAGACACATGTATTATGTGTCTCCCAGTCACATGTAGGCTGAACACACTGTAAGGACTGGCAAGGCTCATAAATTATGCATATTTCTATTATGCTGCAGCCTTTTGATATGTATGTGTTTGACAGAGAGTGAAAGGGGTTGGTCTTCCTTGCAGCCAGGATGCTACTGTAAGTTGGCATTTAGTTGCTGTCGGGTGAAAACCTCTCATCTCTAAAAATGTCGGCTCTTTTACCAACTGTAAGAATATTAGCCTTTCGGAGGGGATAATGTAGAGACAATATCTGATTGTGGCGATACTGTAGTTTCTGTATATATCTATAGTTTGGGCCATTGTACAGTAAGCTTTTATGATATAGCATAGCAGAATGCTGACAGGAAATGAGCGGGGAGAGAGAGAGAGAGAGGGAGAGAGGGTAATGACATTTAATAAAGGGCTCTGACCAAACCCGAGCCAGTGATGTTGCATGGTGAGCATCTTAAACCTCTAGGTCAGCAACACACTGCAGAGATATTGATGTTTAGCTTTTTTAAATTTAGAGAGAAATTTAGAAAATTACTGGATTCAGCTTCTCAGATGTGAATAATTTCTGATTTTGTTGCTTCTTCTTTGATAGTAAACCAAATATGTTTTTGTTTTCTGGACTTTTCTTGGACAAAGCAAGACATTTCAAGTCGTCAGCATGGGCTCTGGGAACTCGTGATGGCGACTTTTCACTATTTGCTGATATTTTATTGACCAAACATAAAGGAATGAATGAGTAGATTGATCAACATTGAAAAGAGTCTTTAGTTACAGCTCTGGAGAATCGGTTGAGGAACAGCTTATGGATAAAATAACCAAACAAGAATGTTTTTGGCTAATTCAATACATTTTACACTGTCACATTTTTGTGCAAAAATCATATAGAAATGCATTATTGCTATACTACAGTCCTACTCTTAAAATTTTCATCCTGGTGTAATACACGCAGAGATAATAAACTACAGTAAAAATTGTTGGCAGAATATCTGGCATTTGACAAATTTACATCATCCCACCGTACTAATGGTCATACTGCGAAAATCCTAATCAGATTCAGCTCACCACCATGCGCTTGTAGGGATTCTCACAGCGTCACATGCCCATGCTTTACAGAAAGATTTCCCTCAGCTGAGTTGACAAAACCAGACACAACCACCAAAATTGAAGTGAGGAGGTTTTTGCTCGACAACAGCGATGACTGTTCCCCTGCCGCACCGCTAGGCTCTTGTGGAAAGAATATTCCCATGTGACCTTCAGCCGCGACCTGACAGTAGCTCCCTCTGCACCGCCCGAAGACACACAGTCACACACTGAATCCCTCTGTCTCTCTCACACACACACACACACACACGTACAAACACACACCTACATCTCTTTACTTCTCTTATTCCTTCGTCGCCGCTCTTTCCATCCCTGTCATCATCGTCCTGTCCTCCCCTCATCCTTGCTCTCAGCAGCTGACTCACTCTGAATGCTCACCACATGTTTGTCCCTTTCTCGTCTGCACCTATTTTTTTTTTTATTTCTGCTCTTTATCACAAACTCTTGAATCTCAAGAGACACAGAGAGAAACTTAATTTTGGAGCTGGTTTTTGTCGGGCGTCTCACGCAGCAATCCTGAGTCAGTATTTAGTATTTATACGCTAATAGATGATACAGAATTTTGCTACTAGAGGGGAACAGGATTCAGGTTATCCACGTCTCATCTGTTGTTTGTTTTTAGGTGCTGTTGTTGTTAATGTGTGGCTGTGCGTAGTCATAACATTATGTAAGACGCTAATGCTCCCTCACCGCTGAAAAAAGGACAAATTCCTTTGTATTCTACACAGAGTCTGAGTTTTTCAAAGTCAAGAATGAAACAGTGGTCGCTGGAAGATTAAGGATTT